GGTAACCCGGGCGACGACCGAGCCGGTATAATTTTCGAAGGCGTCAGTACCATGAGTGGCAGGTGGCTGAGTTTTACGGAGACTTGCCACAGTCTCCAACCCTCCTCCTTTCCCATCCGGGCTTGGGACCGGCCATGGCGGAGTTAATATTTCATATTAACCATATATTTAATATTTCACAATATTTCCATGATCCTTTAAATAGACAAAAAAACAAATAATTGTTCAAAAGCCTGGATTCATAGTTTCTTTGCGTATAGATGCATGATGAGATATTTCGCACTAATTCGGTGATATGTGAGCAACAATAGGGGTGTCAAGTTCTCCTTAATTATTTCAATCAAGTAAATGAATACTTTCCTCATCCGGCGTATTGACTGATTAACCCACTCAAATGGAAGCAAAACGGTAGTGCGGTTATGACTTGCAAACCCGAAGTAATGACGCGCATCTGTATGTGACATTTCGCTGAGCATAAGCAATTTATTTCAGCCCACGTTCTTCTGTCGTATTTTTTAGAGTCGGTGACTAGCAGCTTCATGGCTGAATATCCAGATTATTATTGATCCATGAAATGGCTGCTCCTGTAGCGTTCTGAACATCAGCTATGCTGCTGTCAAACTCTCGCAGACGACATTTGGAAATAACGTGCTGCTTGGCCTGATCTTCAAGGCCGTAGTCAATTTCTGGGCTTGACCTTGGCTTCATCTTCCTGCGGCAAAGGAGGTGTCCGCAGTGTCCTTGTCCTGTTGTGATTCGGTTTAATGTCGACCATTGTTAGAGGGCCAATTCCATCCCAACCCACCGATTTCTCCTGTGGAATTCGAAACCAGGAAACCATCATACCACATAGAAGAACAAGTTATAGGCGGACCTACTTTCAGAGAGGAATTGTTCCCTCTGCGATGCAGTAATCGGTGCCTAACAGCAAAGGTGTTGAAAAGCTGCGAATACAGCTGGCATTACAACTCAAGGGCGTTCCGTGCATCGAAATGGCTCACCTCAACGACCCTAACCAACTCATACTCGGCCATTCACCATCATTGTAATGAAAATCAACTCTTCTTCGTGGACCAAAGAGATTTTCATTCGACAAATTAGCATGTATGTTTATAATCGCTCTAAAATCACCCCTTGAAACCATTAAATGTACTCCCACCCAAAATACTATGGCACTATAAAACTGGTCTCATAAACAGCATCGCTACTTTCCTGCAAAAAATGTAGCTTTTCTATAGATTGTACTATCTGCTGAATATCACACTTTAATAGAATATTTATCTATCATGAGGGTTATAACGAGGTGCAGACACATGAGAAGCTTACATCAGACAACATGGCCGTGCATATTGTTCATTCTGATGTGACAGCACCAAAATACTCGGGTGGTTGAACCGAAGCAACGTTATATAAATTCGATATTTAAGGAAATTCGCTGTTTAGATAAAAGCATACCCTTCTTGTAATCTGAACTTTTTCCTCAGTGTCATCACGCCCCTTGTGTTCAAAGTTTTTGAACACAACAAATAGCCGAATATTCCCCTATTAAACGCAGCAATTAACCTAACATTCATATTAAAAAGCAGTTAGAAGGAATATCAAAAAATGCGTCATAATTTGAGGCAAAATCACACTAAAGATGAAGGAAACATGCCTTATCGTAGATTTGGCATATCCACTGCTCGTAAACGAAAAACTCTGGAGTGTGAAAAGCACCAGTTCGTTAATAAATCCTTTCATTTCGCTTTATGCATTTAAACCATTGAATAGAAGACTGACAATTATGGATTGGATCCCCTTGGATGATGGAATAAAAGCATAGCCGCATATTTTACATATCTCTTGCGCATTTGATAATCATTCTGAGTTTCCGGAGGTAGCAAAGTAGGTTTATTTAATTGGGCATTCTCAAACTAGAGAATTAGGCAGGTTCTGAATGACATGGGTGTTTTCTTGGCATAGAATGTACCTAATCGTTCGAATAAATCAGAATGAATTAAGCCAGTACGTATCAAAATAGGTTTCAAAGTGGGGACATCTGATCATTTTTATCCTTTTATTCTTCCATTCGCTTGGTAAAGGCGTCAGCATTCGCATTTTCTGGAAGCACAGGTAAATAAACAACTGTTTCGCTGCCTCGCTAATCTTGTTTACTTCCTACTTGTTGAATTAGGCTTGAAGAGCCTAAGCCAAAATATAGGAGTACCTCAAGCTTATTAAATTGTTGATAAGTCTTAAGTCAATATTTAGAATTGTAGCGAATCGAGCCAATCTCTTGTTTGTTATTAACAGTTCACCCTCAGTTGCAATAACACTCAAGGAGCATCTATGCTTTACGTTTTTATCGAAACATTTTGTCCGTAAAAACCAATGGCATCGTCAGGGTTCCAGCATATATCTTCATGTGTGTGCATCCGGAGATTTCGCTTCTTTTGGGCAATGAAATCTCTCGATGAACAGCAATGCGTCGTTGCTCGTTGAGTGTCATTGCAATTTGGTTTGAGAAATGAACTAATAAATCGAGGACGCCATAAATTGGACATTCTTTTGATTTTATTCTTACGAATTTTTACCGATGACAATTAATGAGCAAGGAGGCATTTCAAATGAGCATGACACTTGAAATATGTAGGTTAAGACATAATTATCTAAATCCGGCTTAATCGTAACTCCTGGAAACAACGTGTTGCTTTGTCCAGTGTTTGAATGAAGACGATGCGTCATTATTCGTTAGGAGTGCGGGCATGATCATGAGATAGATCTCACAGTGTTTTTGTGGATGATTGATTAGGACGCTTGTTCAGAATCCTTCTGCCAGGATTTGCAACCAGAATGTTTCTCTTAAACAGAACTCCTTTAAAAGCAGCATTATATTTCCTACCTTTCACTTCGCCAGCCAACCATTTTTTATTTTGATACGGCCTTTCACATCTAAGGCAGCAAATGAGGAGAATGCAGTGCATCGCACTTCCCTACTTCGCTCTCCCATGTGATTCTGCACATTAAGCCATGTATTGCTGTTCACGATGTTAACGTCAAAGATGAATTAACGAAAGCAGTCCAACTAGCGACATCGGCGAGAGCATGGACGAAAGGACAGTACGGTACCAAATCTGTTTATTGTTTACTGTGAAAAAAGAGTTTAAAAAATTGGGAATATCATCATCAGAGTATATAATCGACATCGTCGTTGTCTTCCTCCTCCTCCAACTCTTGTTCACAGCCGTTATAATCATAACTGTTTTCAATATCTGACCCATTATAACTTTTTATGTTTGATTCATAATTTTTAGCAATAGGTTAGTTTGCTGTACTAGTTCTTTTTCAGAATGGAAGTACGCGAGGCTGTTTGGAATGACTTGCAACCAGAACACGGACTGCTACAACAATATGTACTGCCCTGCAGGAACGTGTCAGTGCATCCCGGGCTACATAGAACATAACTCGTTCTGCTACCGACGTAAGGACCTGCCAGAGTCACATTTATACAGTAATAAATCAACGCATGCCATTACTTTAGCGGTAAATCCAGGAAGCGGCTTCTGCGAAATCGATCAGCAGTGCAGTGCTACATGGAATGGAGCAACATGTGTTGCCGGCACCTGTAAATGTCCCGGGAACGAAGTACCTCTATCGCTACCTTACGGGACAACCGTTTGTCACGTACCGGGTAATGAATTGAATTTGGTCTTTAGACCGCAT